GAAATTGTTATCTTTTAATAGTCGTAGATGAATACTCTCGATTTCCATTCGCGTTCCCTACTCAAGACACAACTGCTAGGACTGTTATTCTGAGACTTAAGGAACTTTTCTCAATGTTTGGAGTACCGGCTTATATTCATTCTGACAGAGGTTCATGTTTTATGTCTCAAGAACTAAAATCATTTTTATGTTCACTAGGAGTTGCTTCCAGTCGTACAACAGCTTACAATCCTCAGGGCAACGAACAAGCTGAGAGGTATGTTGGTATTATATGGAAGACAATCGAACTATCACTTAAAAGTAAAAATCTGGAAATATCTGATTGGGAAAAAGTACATTTAGAAGCTTTGCACTCTATCCGGTCGTTATTGTGTACTTCAACAAATACAACACCGCATGAAAGACTATTTCTCTTTTCTAGAAGATCTAGTAATGGTAAGACAACTCCATCTTGGCTCATGAATCCAGGTCCAGTGCTCATGAAACGGCCTGTCAGGAGCTCGAAATACGAACCACTCGTTGAAGAAGTACTGCTCCTTGAGGGGAATCCTGAGTATTCTCATATAAGATATGCAGATGGCCGTGAAACCACAGTGAGTTCCAGGCAATTAGCACCTGTAGGAGAAGTGTCACATTATGACGAAGACTCAAACTCCAATCTACGACATGAAGAAGACTCAAATCCCAATCTACGACATGAAGAAGACTCAAACACCAATCTACAACATGAAGAAGACTCAAACACCAATCTACAAATAAATGAAAGAAGTTCTCAAGTTGATGTTGGACCTGAGCCTATCTTCCAAGACGAGGAAAGACTGAATCCGGACCAGATTGCTTTAAGGAGAAGCTCCAGAAGTAAACACCCGCCTTTGTATCTAAAAGACTATGTCAGCTAGGAGGGGAAGAATGTCATATTACATATATAATTCCTTTCTATCTGTACATTGTAACATCTGTTCAAATGTTTAGAAGTTGTTTTCGTTTACTATGATGTTAGTTTGTTTCATATTGTTAACTAGTGAACCTGTGCGGCTCAATGCCCCGCAAAATAACATATGAATTTAGAAAACAAATTCATCGTGTTATATATTGACTCGACGTCGAAAATTAAATACAGTACGGTAATAATAAAGCCTTAAAGCGAAGCAGTCCAGCCATTTTCTAGCTGAATGTGTATTATATTTAGTAAATTAATAAGTGTTGAAGTTCAAGTATGTTATAGGGTAGTTATTTTTTTAAGATTTTTAAAAACAGATTCAACAAACAATTTGATCATATCAAACCAATAGGCCTGTGTAGCATATTTTGAGGGTCATAAAATGCTGCTTGAAGAAAACACTTTAAAAAATAAACACTAGCCTACAAAACAAAATTTTTTCACAAAATCACTTCCATTAATACTACGATTTTAGTCATAAAGTTACCTTCAGGAATATTACCCTGGTCAGAATTTTCCGTAATGAATATGCGTATCCTATTAAAAGATGTTGCCTTACTTAAAACAACATAATATAGTTGCTCATGCACTGAAATTGGTCTGGGTAAGAACAGTGCTGCTCTTTAATTAAAGTGCTTGTGCTGCAAATGCTAAAAGATAACAGAAATTAGCATCTTTCCATTTTAAAAGGTAAGTTTGTTTCAGACGGGCAAATTTGTATCCTCGAAATCAAAATATGTCCCCACTCACTTGTTCCAGTTAGGACTTTTCATTCTATTAAGTTGTTGACCGTTCTGATCACATGAAGCCTTGTCCCATTAATGAGGCCCTTTTTGATGTATTAATATTCCTCGTCAATAAAACCACTGCCCCCTTTTATTAGTCTAATCTGTGCCTTGGCAATCTACTGACCTTTATTTTTTATTTAAAAACTCAGTTGGATTTTCTAGATGGGTGTCTCCGCCTTCGTCTGTTTTCGAGGACCCGCTCTTCTTTACCTTGGTATACTGACAATAAATTGTCAAGTCCATGTAGTAATTCATTAATACTGTTAGTTTATAAAGAAAATTAGATGTGTATGTAATCTTAAAGGAAGGGGGGGTAACATTAAAGGAAGGGTTGTAATATTAAACATTGGCTCAAACTGCGCGGAATGGTAGTGAAGTTGACCACTCCAGTCATCATCATGTTAGTGAACAAACCACAGAATCTCACAATCTGTCTGACATTATAAAAAAATGTTTCTCACGTTTTGAGAGCACATATTATCTAAACAAACAGAACACATTAATACTTTACTTAATCTTCTTACCACCGTTATTGCCCGCATAAAATTAATATTCTCCTTATAGTAGCATTAAAGTTACTTGGCTTAGTTCTATCATAACTGCAAACTCAAAATACACCCACAAGTAAAAAAGAATCAAGTTATTGGTTAACAAAAATTATGTTTGTGTAACAATATTATTCACATGAAGTAGATGATTTGTTTGATTTATTGATCAGCTGTTTAGTTTCAAATGAATTAATATTGTCAAAGATTTGTGATTTTAAATACATAAATTATTATATTAAAGTTTTCTAAATCATGGTAACTTATTCTCAACTAAATTTTACCATTCCCAGCATTAAAATAAAGTAGTGACATCCATTATGAGTAAACTTTAAGGTACTTAATCCTTGATTGAAATGTAATATACATTAACAGTCATAATACTCAGCAATTATTATGTAGTAGACTTTGACTATTTTCAAGAAACATACATATGTTTCTGTAAATAAAAATTATCTCCCATGTTATCCTTATGGAGAAATACGAAACTTTAAAGGGCCCCAGGGCCTCACTCTCTAATTATTTCCCTAAAAAGAAAGTTTCCTGCACAACTTCAAGTTACGCTCTTTCCAATGACACCAAAAACATGTCAATCGGTTCAGTAGTTTCGGAGGAGTAATTGTCACAAAAAACCTGCTTGCGTATTAAATAAGTACTAGTGAACCTGTGCGGCTCAATGCCCCGCAAAATAACATATGAATTTAGAAAACAAATTCATTGTGTTATACTGTATTATATTGACTCGACGTTGAAAATTAAATACAGTAATAATAAAGCCTTAGAAGAGAAGCAGTCCAGCCATTTTCTAGCTGTATGTTTGTTATATTTAGTAAATTAATAAGTGTTCAAGTTTAAGTATGTTATAGGGTAGTTATTTTTTAAAGATTTTTAAAAACACATTTAACAAAACATTTTATTATATCAAACCAATAGGTCTATGTAGCATATTTTGAGGTCAAGCCAACAAAAAGATTATCAACCAATGGAAATACTTACAATTTACGTAACAGTCCTTTTCCATTTTGAAGGGTGAATTTTTGGGAAAAGGTAAGCTTACAATTTAAGGTCAACGTAAAAAGGCTGTCAGCTTTTATTAAGTACCGTACCTAAGTTATCTAGCCAATTTGTAGACAATAAGGTGTAGGCTACTTTAAACTCTACAGGACAGAGTTAGGCAATAACTGGCAGAAATCTGAAATGGTGTTATTTATCATAGGCTTAGTCATATGCCAAATCCTTAAAACTTAAAATAAAAATTTAATAACTAACTTATATCATTAAACACAAACCAACATCCAAAACTATACACATTTTTAATACAACTTCGATAATTTACACATTGACTGTTTACAACATATCTTTTTCTTCTTGCTATTATTTTTTGCTTCGCAACGGGAAAAATTTGTTTCATAATTATTGAAATAGATTTATAATAATCTATCATATAGTTTAAGATTAAATAAACCTACCACATAGTTGTTTTTTTTGTTTTTTTTTATCAGCTGTCTAAAATTGTGAAATAGGCATTTGACAGTTCTGGTTGTTTAAATTTAAATGTCAAAGCAAATGTTTACATTGTGAATTTTCTCATGCTTCCATGGAGACCAATTATTCCATTCCATTATTCCATTTCTTTTTTTTTATTCCATTATTTATTTATTGTTTTTATTCCATTATTTATTTATTGTTTTTATTCCATTTCTAACAACAGCTGGAGTTTCAAAACAATGTTTGTTTCCCATGTTAATCTTATGGAGAAATACAAAACTTTAAAGGGCCCCAGGGCCTCGCTCTCTAATTATTTACCTAAAAAGAAAGTTTCCTGCACAACTTCACGTTACGCTCTTTCCAATGACACCAAAAACATGTCAATCGGTTCAGTAGTTTTGGAGGAGTAATTGTCACAAAAATCCTGCTTGCGTATTAAATAAGTACGAGAGGTCGTCCAGTGGTCGAAACTCGACCAAAAATATGTAATGTACTCACTTAACTATTTTCACCCCACACTGTAAATAAAACATGTGATTGGAGTTTCCTCCATTTGTTTTGATTTTCTGTTTATATTTCGTTGTTATTTCGTAACCAGCATAGCAACGCATAAGATCCATGTTAATTTTTTACAACTTTTAAACTTATTTTTTGTGCTTATCTTTGAGCCTATTTAAATTTATAAAGGGATTCTGCACACCTACAGGAAAATAGCTTTCCAACGGTATGCGTAGATTTTCCCTACGATGCACACGAGCTGAGAAAAAAGGTTTTAAAGAAACATGCTTGCCTATTAATATATAGATAGATAGATATAGAATATAGATTCTATATCATGCTAGATTCTATGTTCAATAAAGCCTAACTAAAGGTAATTTGGTTTATTCATTCAATCTACAACACTACCATATACATAAAATAATACCTTCCCACACAGTTTATTTTATCCAATAGCATTTGGTCTTCTTATAATACCATATTTATTTATAATATCATTGACTTTACACCTAATATTTATTATTAACTTAACATTAAATTTGTAGAGAAATGTTTAAAATAATATTTTAATGTTTGGAAATCTAGAACCAATATTCTAGGCAATAAATGCCTTAAAATTTCTTTTCAGGACTTTTGGATCATTAGTAGCAAAATTAGTTACTTTCCTGATTTTCCAGGACCTATGACAACCCTGTACACAGTTGATTCTCAGAGTTACACTACTGAATCACATGAACTCACTTAGTGTATAGAGATTTGTTGGTCAGGTTGTATCGGCTTGTGTAGGCTCGTACTTTGACGGGACACAGGTCATGAGCTCGGCAACACTTGTCCAAGTTGGCTTCAGCTCCGAGGTCAAAGTAGTTCTTGGCCAGGTCACCAGCTCCACACCATTTGGTTCCTGTAAACATAAGCTAATAATAGAACTCAGCAGTTGTTATTTTGTTTATATGTATATATATATATATACTCATACTCTTAGCTTTGATTTTTAAGCAAGAAAAAGCAAAGGATTACTGTAGAGCAAACAAGCGTGATGCTTTGGTATCAACAGCTGGGGTCAGTTTCAATAAAGGGAACCCAGGTGACTTTACGATTACTATGCGGGCACTACAACAACTGCTATAATTCTGAAGACAAAGCTTTGTAGAATTTCTGATTTACCTTTACCTTTTATAATAAGCCTTGATTTGATAGATTTAAGATTACTGCCAAAGCAGAAAAAAAGAAAAAAAACTGCTAAAAGTAGACTCTATTGTGTGTTCAGCTTCCACAAGGACAAACTTTACCAGATTATTCGGGAGGTCAAAATAAAATAAAAAAATTCATTACTACACGTCCTATCTTGAACCATTAACTGTACTGTATGTATTTTTTACAAAACCATTTATTACAGGGATTTGAGCTACAGAGTTGAAATTCACAAAAATGTTCATCTTTCTCGCCACTATCTTTGTGCGAAATATAAATAAAAACTTGAAGCATTTGAAATTGTACCGTAACTTTAGTAAAAATTTGATGCCATATTCCCACATAACGATTAATAAAAAAAAACAAAAAAAAACACACACACACAGGATACATAAAGTTTAGTTAATTGAGCGGAGCGAGCGAAGCTCTTATACGTCGACTCTTATGCATTTCGTAATACGCAAACTCCTCCTAGACGGCTGAATCAATCGTTTTCAAATTTTGCATGGTGATAAAGACCATATCGGTGAGTGCCAACATCTATATGGCGTTAAAAAAGTATCTCAGGAATCCACCCCACTGGGTCTCAAAGTTTCAGTGTAATCCTTATGGAAGCAGTATTTGACACCTAAACAAAGACATATCATCTGCTGTTGACTTTTGAATGCAGTAGATAAAGAAATAGCTGATAGCATTAATCCACAGATATTGGAACAGAAACGGTATAGATCATAAATATAATCAAATGACGACACTAGCTTGAGGTCCGTGACGTAGGAAGTGGTGAAGGAAGTAGTAAAGGTGAGCAGTCTGGGGTGTGGAAACTGTTCATGACGATTAGATTTTGGTATCTGCATTCCTAAAATTCTATGGGAAGAGAGGAAAATGGGTCCGCGACTTAGGAAGTGGTGAAGGAAGTAGTCAAGGCGAGCTGTCTGGAGTGTGGAAACTGTTTATGACGATTAGATTAAGGTATCTGCATTCCTAATATTCTATGGGAAGGGAGGAAAACGGGTCCGCGACGTAGGAAGTGGTGAAGGAAGTAGTCAAGGTTAGCTGTCCGGAGTGTGGGAACTGTTTATGACGATTAGATTAAGCTATCTGCGATCCTAAAATGCTATTGGAAGGGAAGGCAACAGGTCCACGACGTAGAAAGTGGTGAAGGATGTAGTCAAGGCGAGCTGTCCGGAGTGTGGAAACTGTTTATGACGATTAGGTTAAGGTATTTGCAATCCAATAATGCTAAGGGAAGGGAGGTAAACAGGTTCGTGACGTAGGAAGTGATGAAGGAAGTAGTAAAGGCGAGTTTTTTGGAGTGTGGGAACTGTTTATCACGATTAGATTAAGGTATCTGCAATCCTAAAATGCTATGGAAATGGAGGTAAAGAGGTCCGTGACGTAGGAAGTGGTGAAGGAAGTAGTAAAGGTGAGCTGCCCGGAGTGTGGGAACTGTTTATGACAATTAGATTAAGGTATCTGCAATCCTAAAATGCTATGGAAAGGCAGGGAAACAGGTCCGTGACGTAGGAAGTGGTGAAGGAAGTAGTAAAAGCGAGCTGTCCGGAGTGTGGGAACTGTTTATGACCAATAGATTAAGGTATTTGCAATCCAATAATGCTAAAGGAAGGGAGGGAAACAAGGCCGCGACGTAAGAAGAGGTGAAGGAAGTAGTAAGGTGAGCAGTGTGGAGTGTGGGAACTGGAAACCGTTTGTAGCAGTTTGATTAATGTATCTGCAATGCTGAAATGCTATGAGAAGGGATGGAAGCATGCCCACGACATAGAAAATGGTGAAAGAAGTAGTAAAGGCTAGCAGTGCGGAGTGTGGACAATGTTTGTGGCAATTAGATTAACGTATCTAAAATACTAAAATGCTATAGAAAGTGTTGAAAACAGGTCCACGATGTAGGAAGTGGCTTAGGAAGTAGTAAAGTATTAGCATAGTGTGAGAACCGTCTGTGGCAGTTAGATTAATGTATCTTCAATCCTAAAATGCTATGAGAAGGGAAGGAAACAGGCCCTACGACGTAGGAAGTGGTGAAGGAAGTAGTAAAGGATGGCAGTGCAGAGTGGGAGAACCGTTTGGGTAGTTAGATAAATGTATCTAATACTTAAATGCTATGAGAAGGGAGGAAACAGGTCTATGACGTAGGAAATGGTGAAGGAAGTAGTAAGGTTTGCAGTGCAGAGTGTGGGAACTGTCTCTGGCAATTACATTAATGTATCTGCAATCCTAAAATGCTATGGGAAGAGAGGGAAACAGGTCCACGACGTAGGGGGTGGTGAAGGAGGTAGTAAAGGTGAGCAGTGTTGAGTGTATGGGAATGGATTAATCTATCTGCAATGCTAAAATGCTATGGGAAGAGACTCTAGACTGTAGGTTAAAATAATTACGAATCACAAATCGATACATATTGTGATATGCAATCGTTTACAATAGAAATTTACAACTGAGTTGACAACAGCTGATTTTTACTCCATAGAGGCTAAAAAAGATTTTTACTCCCTAAAGAGTAAAAATGCTACTTTAGACCCGCAACGCATGCACATAATATGAACCCTTGATGACTCCGCTCAATTTTGTGGATGCCTCTGCGAACGCCACCTAGTTTTATACAGATTTCAACGATATCTTATAACCTTTAGTTTGGACAAATAATTACTGAGAAGTTAGTTTTTTCTTGTTATACCGTACCTACAGTTTTCTCCATTTAAAAATGTTAAATCGTTAAAACTTCTTATTAACATTCCTAGCTGAACTTTCTCATGAATCCTATCCGATTTAAACACACACACTGTTTTCGGTTTTGATAGAAACGAGGTTACCTATTTGATAGCTGTGCCTGATTCACCATAAAAGTTTGATTTTTGTATCAACAAGCCGAGAGAAAGATAAGTAAGGGAAGATATTTGACACAGAGCACTTGGATTGCTCACTACTCAGACGGGTAATTACTATAGTCAGTGAAATTGTGATGGCCATTACATTTCATACTAGTTCTTCTCCGTGTGTTATGTCTGAGCCTAATTTACGACTCACATCACTTCCCAGGAGACTTTTCTTGTCACCATCCTGCTTGTGATATGGATTTCGGTGGATGGATTTGTCCAATTAATGCAAATGGATGTAAAAACTATTTATTTTTATTTTTACCTACAATTGATTTCCTCACCTGGTAATATCCCACTGAGGATGGTGACAGGGTTGATGTTGGGTATTGCCCTCCCCCCACCACCACTTCTGTCCGAGGGAGTGTAGGGAGAAGACAGCTGATTACACAGAGTCATCAGTTCCACCATCTCCTCAAAGGTGAGGCGATACGGCTTTGCAAACGAGGATAAGTTGCGAAGAGCCATCTTCAGTTCTCCAGATTTGCTGCAAGAGAAGAAATTGTGTCAAAAAACATACACAATACCACTATAGTATTCTTTAAATCTTCCAGGTCTCCCTTAATTACATTATAATTTATACCTTTACACGTGATAAATTCAATAATCATAAAGACTAAACTACATAGAAAGTATATGGTATGGTTTATGGTAAGTTTATGTATATTAATGGGTATTCTTTATACTAGTGTAGGCCTACATGTTGCTTGAATTTGAGCAATTGCTAAGTATTATTACAGGAGATATTTAAAAACGTATAACAGTCATAATTTCCAATGAGCTTAAAAGGAGTCAATTCAGAGATTATGTACCTAAATGAAATACTCACAATGTCCATACCAGTTTGATATAATCAAAATTTCTTGTAAATATTTTATCATTTTTCAAAAACCGATCTTGTATTTTAATTTTTTCTAAAAATATTAAACGACTTACTCATAACCGCATAAGGTTGTCCGTCTAAAGGTTGTCGTTATTGGTAATGTAATGTAGCCTGCATGGTACCACAATTGTCGTCAGTATGTTTACAAACTTCAGTCATTTTTTTAATAATAAAAAAAAATTCAAATTCTATGACCTTTCTATGTTTCCATAGCTTACAAATCGGTTCTTTCAATGATTGCTTAAGAAATACTTGAAACTTTTTTTTTCTTACTCAGTGTAGGTAGTATGTCAATAAGTTTTTCTTTTTTGGTGAAATATATCCAATTGTCCAGGCTTTCTCGCTTTTTCCGCAAAACCCGCAAAAAATTTACGCAAACCCAATTTAAAATAGTATTTAATTTCAACCAAATCAGTAAATGTTTATACATGCGTTTCCTTGAATTGTAACTTAAATATTAACATCAATTAAACTAAACTATTAGCTGATCATAATGTTAACAAGACATGATCTTCATATGGATAACATGGGAACTTTAAAGCCACTTGGGGCATAGCCCAAGGGACTTTTTCAAAAATTTAAGTTTGCAAATCTAGGTGACACGTTCTTTCCAATGAGACGTCAATTGTCGATATGTCAGAGGAGTTAAATGCACAAATTTTGAGTGTGATTGTAATTTCTTCCATTTGTTTTTATCAGAGCTGACCATGGCAAAGGCGGAATTGAATTGACGAATCTTATCCAGATAATTTCTGGACCCAAGCCTCACAGTCCTGTTTTCAGATTGGGAGTTTCCAATAAGTTTCTAAAAGTATGGTGAATTCCGCAAATGAGGTACACAATCCTTTCATTTATGGCAACAAAGAGTAAAAATTGAACTGTCTCGGCCAGTCTTTCCTTGCTTAAAATGTAAGCCACCACAATGTAAAAATCAGGATTAGGTAGGAGCCTGAGGTGTTTCACTGTCTTTAAGTGTTTGATAGACTAAGATAGTGTTACCAGTAACATTTTTTTTTTTTTTTTCTTAGGGAGAGGAGGGAAAATGCTTTTACGCACACAAGTAGCCAGCCTGTAGTGTGAGACTCCTGAAAATTATCAGACTACTCACTAAAAAACCCCCTCTACTCTGTTGGACACAGACCTGGAATTGTTTGTCACATTACTTCAAGTCAGGCCAACATGTGACCTAAGCCCTCAGGGCTCGCACCGTTTCTGGCATTTAGATTCTTAATGACCTACACCGCATCCCGGTCAAGGTCGATCTTCTTGGCGCGGAGAATACCCTGGATATAATGTGACACACAGGTCCAATTGTCCTCACCCTCCGTCATAATCGGTATGACCGTGTCCACCGACAGCAGTCCTACTAACTGTTGAGCCTCCAGGCGAGGCCTTTCCCAGCGCTGGCAGTGGAAAAATGTATGTTCCACGTCATCGAGAATGCCTGGGCAGTATATGCAGTCGGGTGACACGGCTTTGCCCATCCTGAACAGGTACGACCGGAAAAAGCCGTGTCCCGTCAGAAATTGGGTGAGGTAGAAGTCCACCTCTCCGTGCCGCCGATCCACCCAAGGTTGGACTTGCTGTATCAGTCGCCTGGTCCAGAGTCCCCGTATCTCCTGTTCCCAGCCCTCCTGCCATAGCTGGTAGGTGCGGGTGCGTTCCTCTGTTCATGCCTCGTCCTCCCCACGGCGCCGATAAATTGCCTTTCTCTCCGCCGCCAAAAGTTTGACGGGGATGACTCCAGCAATCACCAGGACGGCGGGCTCGGACACTGTTCGGTAGGCAGATGCTACCCTCAGTGCTGCCTGACGCTGCACTCGGGCGAGCCGCATCCTGTATGCCTCCTTATTTAGTGCGTCTGACCACACCTCCGCACCGTACAAGAGTACGGACTGGACCGAAGACATTAACAGCCTTCTACGACTGGACCAAGGCCCTCCGACATTGGCCATCAACCGGCTAAGAGAAGAAACCACCCTAGCGGCCTTGTCCGCAGTACGGAAGATCTGATCCCGCCAGCTAAGCTTGCTGTCTACCATGACCCCAAGATACTTGGCAGAACGAACAGTTTGAACCTCGACGGCTCCCACCCTCAACCGGAAGGTCGAGCTATGTAAGCTATTGATGGTGTCAATCCGTTTTTTTGTCAAAATCACGATCTCGGTTTTGCTCAGAGCAAGCGAGAGACCGTGGTCTGCCATCCATGCGTTTATGGTACGCATAACTCGGTTTAGCTTTGGCTGAGCCAGCTCAACGCTTTGTGCAGCTATCAAAGCTGCAACGTCGTCTGCGTACCCAACCAAAACTGTTTCCTCAGGCATTTCAGACCTCAGAAGGCTGTCATAAGCGACGTTCCAGAGGTCTGGGCCGAGTATGGAACCTTGGGAAGCACCAGAAGTGACACTCATCGTCCGCGGGCCCTCCGCAGTGTCATACGTTAGGAGGCGAAACCGGAGATAATCCTCTATGATGCGCATGAGGTATGCCGGCACGTGGAAAGTGTTCTCCAGAGCGTCCAGCATATCGCACCACCTCGCAGAATTAAATGCGTTTCGCACATCGAGCGTTACGAGCAGCACAACCCTGCGAGAGTAGTGGTTAAAATCCTCAGCTCTCATCACGGCTTGCTTCACCTCCTCAATCGCATCAATTGTTGATCGCCCCATCCTGAATCCATACTGACGAGGGGAGAGGTCCCCCGCAGCGACAACGGCTGAATTTAGCCGGGAACGGATCAATTTCTCGAGGACTTTGCCAGCCGTATCCAACATACACAGAGGTCTGTAAGAGGATGGCAGATCTGGGTCTCCTTTGCCCTTCCCAACAAGCACAAGCCTAGCTGTCTTCCAGCACAAGGGGAAAACCCCTTCAACCAGGCAGGCGTTGTACATGCTCAAAAGGATCAAGGGGTTGGTAGTCAAAACCTTCTTAAAGACTTCACCGGGTACCCCATCGGGACCAGGAGCCTTGTTGTTCTTCAGGGATATGACGGCTGCCACCAGCTCTTCAGGGCTGAAAAGTGGGACGTCGTCCACCCTTCCAAAATCCCGCAGTGGGCGCAACGCGTGAGCTGGGAAAAGGGACTCGACCATCCTCTCCATAGTGACCCTGTCCATGACGGAAGGTGGAGAGCGGGTTCCAAGTTTCTTGGTTACAAGTTTGTAACCCAGGCCCCACGGGTTGGAAACAACATCGTCCCTTAATTTATCCCAGCAACTGCGTTTACTCCGATTGATGGCTCGACGAAGATACCTCCTAGCCACCCTATAAGCATCCGACTTACGCCGTCTGTCTAGGGGTTCTCTAGCCCTGGTAGCAAGTCTTCTGGCCCTCAATGCTGCTCGACGCAATTCCGCAATCTCGGCAGTCCACCAGTACACAGGACGCTTATTGCACCGGTATCTCCTGCGAGGCATAGACTCATCGCAGGCCGAGACAATCAGTCCTTTTGATGTATCGTTAATCGTGGATGCAACTAACGCCTCTGCGTGAGGCACGCCAGTTGCAGGATGAACCACCGGCGTTCTTCGTAGGATGGCTCCATTGAATTTTGCCACGTCCAGTTTTTTAATGTTCCATCGAACAGGCACTTGACGAAACGCTGCCACTTGTCTCTGATGACCATCCAGGACGTCAAAAATTATGTACTGGTGGCCACTGGCCGTGTAATCCTCCAGGACTCTCCAGGCTCTGATCCTTGGCAAAAGAGACTCAGATGCAAGGGTAATGTCTGGGATCGTTCCCCGCATCCCAGGGCGCCGGAAAGTTGGCGTGTTGCCCTCGTTTACGACAACGAGTCCGGCTCTGGCAGCAAAGTCCAGAATGTACTTGCCCCGGGAATTTGTGAGGGTCATTCCCCACTCGACAGCCCTAGCATTAAAATCCCCACCCACGACGACGTGTCCTGTGGTATTGCGCACGCTCTCTTCCAGGCGGTTTATCTTCTCACGAAAGTCACGGATGGCCTCATTGGGAGTGAGGTAGACACTAAAGTAAGTGACATCCCAGCACCGAACCCAAACGAAACCTCGGCCCTTCGCGTGACCCCGTACTTGTACTGTAGCTGCATTACGCGCCCAGATTGCAGCAGTGCCAAGACTATCAGGGAACCAAAAAGCTGGGTCCCTATCACGGTACTGGTACTGTTCGCTGACTAAAAGCGCGTCGACATCGTGTTCTAGGGCAAGCTGACATAGAAGTGCGTCAGCCGTCCTGGTTCGCTCAAGATTGCATTGAAGGATTCTTATCTTCGTGGGAGGGCTTTCGCTTGTTGTAGTGCAGATTTAAATACACTGCACTTTCCAGACCCAGCTATATGATTCAAGTGTTTTTCAGCGAGCCCATTTTCTTTGCAAAGAAAACAGGACTCGACTTGGCAGTCCTTACGGATGTGACCGACCTCCCCGCACCGGCAGTTCTTGCTTCGGTCGGGTCCCTTGCAGTTTCGGGAGGAATGGCCGAAACAGAGGCATTTAAAACACCTCTTTACTTCCACTCTCCGTCTGAGCCTGCAGTTGACCCAGCCGACTCTCAGATGCTGGAGTGCCAGCACCTTGTTGGCATGTAGTCTGCCATTTCGGCGACCGCCATCCGCTGGTGGC